TACCATGGTGTACAGATATTATATTTTTAAGGCTGATTTGCAGTCTTAAAATGAGCACTTCCTTTCCTTGACTTGTCAGGCTCATCTGTGTCCAGAAGAAGATAAGAAGCAAGAGAAAGAGGACAGACAGACAAACGACAAAGTCAACCAGGTAACCTGATGGCACAGAGATTAAACACCTAATGGTGTGGCTCCAGGAATAAGTGCTAGAAGATTTTGGAAGAAAAGAAGGGTGGGAGTGGTTTGGCAAGGCTTCAGGGAAAAAGGTAGGAGTGGGCAGAGGGACACAGTGGAGGTGTGAAATTTAGCAGGACAAAGAATGAACGCCAGGTGAGGGGAGCCACCTCCTCCTCTTGCCTTTTCTTCCATTTATTGAGGTCCATATGTTTTGAGCACCTACCATGGGCTCAGCAACACGCTGGCCACTGGGGGCAAGGAACAGAGCTGGCTGGGCTCCAAGCAGCAAAATGTTTAAGACCCAGTCCGTCAAGTTGACTGAGTTTGAGTCTTGTCTCTGTCACTTATTAGTTGTGTGACAGTGGAGAAGTTTCTTAGCCTCTTAAAGTCCCAGTTTCCATATATGTAAAGTGGGGATAGTGATTGAATCAATCACATAGGTTTAATGTGAAATTAACTAAGAGTATTTATGTAATGGATTGACACAGTGGCTGCAACAATGGGCTCAAACATGGCAACAATTGTGAGGATGGCGCAGGACCGGGCAGTGTTTCGTTCTGTTGTACATAGGGTCTCTACGAGTTGGAACTGACTCAACTTCACCTAACAATAACATGCGTGTAAACCATTCAGCACAGTGTCTGGTACATAGTGAGTACTTAAAAATGGCAACAATTGTGAATTTTCTATATAAGTGCTTTAGTAGGCAAATATAGAAGGCATACTGCTAACCTAAAGGGGGAAATTATTTTTTATCTCTTCCTTTTATTTTTTCCCTTCATAGTACATGCTACAATTTGAAATTATATTTCCAAATGTTTATTTTGTTCTTCTGTGATATCTCCCCACTTCTCCCATAAGATTGCAAGGGACACTAGGGCAGGGAGCCTATATACTATGTTCATTTTGGCTTCCCAGTGTCCTCTCGTGTTGTGGTTGTTAGATGCCATCGAGTTGGTTGTGACTCACAGCAACTCTGTGTACAACAGAACGAAACATTACCTGGTCCTGAGCCATCCTCACAATCATTGTTATGCTGCTTGAGCCCATGGTTGCAGCCACTGTGTCAATCCATCTCACAGAGGGTCTTCCTCTTTTTCGCTTACCCTCTACTTTACCAAGCATGATATCCTTCTCCAGGGACTGATCCCTCCTGGTAACATGTCCAAAGTATGTGAGACGAAGTCTCGCCATCCTTGCTTCTAAGGAGCATTCTGGTTGTACTTCTTCCGAGGCAGATTTGTTCATTCTTCTGGAAGTCCCTGCTGTATTCAGTACTCTTCGCCAACACCGTAATTCAAAGGCATCAATTCTTCTTTGGTCTTCCTTACTCATTGTTCAGCTTTTGTAAGCACATGAGGAGATTGAAAACACCATGGTTTGGGTCAGGCCCACCTTAGTAGCCAAAGTGACATCTTTGCTTTTTAACACTTTAAAGAGGTCTTTTGCAGCAGATTTGCCCAATGCAATACATCGTTTGATTTCTTGACTGCTCCTTCCATGGGTGTTGATTGTGGATCCAAGTAAAATGAAATCCTTGACAACTTCAATATTTTCTCCATTTATCATGATGTTGCTTATCAGTCCAGTTGAGAAGATTACTGTTTTCTTTATGTTAAGGTGTAATCCGTACTGAAGTCTGTAGTGTTTGATCTTCTAGTGCCTAAGCATACGTTACCAATCAACCAACCAACCAGCTGCCTTTGAGTCAACTCCAACTCATGGTGACCTCATGGGTGTCAGAGTAGAACTGTGCTCTATAGGGTGTTCAAGGGGTGATTTTTTTCCCCCCCTGAAGTAGATGGTCATGCCTTTCTTCTGAAGCACCTCTGAGTGGACCCTAACCTCCAACCTCTTGGTTACAGCCGAGAATGCTAACCATTTGCACCACCCAGGGATTGCAAGCATATATTAAAAAACCAAACCAATTGCCTTTGAGTCAATTCCAACTCATGGTGGCCCCGTGTGTTTCAGAGTAGAACTGAACTCCAGGGTTTTCAGTGGCTGTCATCTTTCAGAAGTAGACTGCTAGACTTTTCTTCAGAGGTGCCTCTGGGTGAATTTGAACTGCTAACCCAGGTTGGTTAGCAGCTGGGTGCTTAACCCTTTTGCGCCACCGGGGACTC